TTCAGGAGAAAGTGAGTTGACAGTCGATTTTGAAGAAAAAAAGTAGCATAAAAACGACATGCCACCGGATTTTCAAAGGACTGGCAGATTTGGATACGATATACACTTTCGGACGTATTAAAAGCCTGTATTATAGATTTTAATAGAACAATATATAAATAACTTGTTAATTGCTAGCTTAATTCACTTGGCGGCTTAGCGTCATGGTAACTGCACATACGGTTTACTTCTGCAGTAATTTATAGTAACAGTCAGGTGGAAATTCCCTGACCATCGGAATCGATAAAATATTATTGTATAATTTGGCTAAAATGCAGATACTAATGTTTGCTTCTAGTTTTTACCACATTGCATTAGATTACCACACTCGCAATCTACGATCTTAGGGAATTCTTTCATTAGTAGTATTCACCTGACAACATTAAGGGTTCTCAAAACTATATTGCTTACGAATCATAAATACAAATAGGCTGACAATATAAGTTAATGTTTGACAATAAAAATCCAATAATTTCAATTAAATTTGTTTTCGAGAAAGCCTTATCTACGGGACATGTTCAACATTTTCGGGGTTAATTTGGGTCTTGAATATATGTATATACGCTGCTTGAAAACTTGCACGATACCCACTATACCATACTTTACTCTACTATACGCAGGTATACAGCGTTTTCGAATAGTGCCCTCTTATGTGACCCGGTATTATGAAATTATCCTGTTTTATTTAAGGTATCCGCGTTATCTTCAAAACGTGCACCGTATACCCGAAAAGTATATTCCTATGGGAACAGAGCCTAATGAGCACGAAAACAGAAAAAAACGACTGAACTAAATTCTTGAAACCCATTCTTATACTAGGTTCACCCAATAGCTGTCGCATCCCCGAATTATTGAAGACACCCAAGCTGAGTTTTTTCCAGTAGCTCGCATCGGTCACCTTTTTAGTATTCTTTTGAAAAGCAGATCCCACTATGATTCCTTAGAAAGTCTTATTTCACGTCGCCATCAACATCCGAACTGAAAATAGAGAATCCATCTACAAGCAGATTTTAGAACTAATAAACATCACCAAAACCAAATTTCCATCCTACCACACAGATACCAATTTCCGCTGCCCTGAACCGCGTCGAGCCGTATGCCAACCTTAGAAGAAACAATCACCTGATTTATTACAAACTTTTTCGCTACTATGGATCCCAAGATTCAGTGGAGTGGTTGAAGTAAACTCGGATCATGTCCACTGGACGGCCCCACTCCCGAAGTATCTGAGTATCCACTTTAATGACCAGCGCTACGATATCGTACATGGCTAAAACAGACCGATTGCGAATCACTCTAACTCCCCCGACCAATCCATTGAAGATAGTCATGGCTATCGAAAATTTTGCGCCGATGCTTAACCTTAAACCAAAACATAGAAGATTATAGCGCGAGAGCTATTGGATGGACGAGTTGGAGTCCAAATGGTTTAAATCTTCAGCACGATAACTACATAATACCCTTCATTACTATACCTATAATCATAGTGCATCTAATGCGTCAGTAATTGAGAAAAAAAAACACTATAAAACTCTGCTAGAGAAATACCCACATCAATATACTAAAATAATTGTTATTGCGTTCAAAAAGAATAAACATCTCAGCAATCATTTAGTCCATGGCAGACTTGAACCACCGTAAAACATTTTTCTAAACCCATAGCTGCATGATAGTTTCCTAGCCTCTACAAAACAAATGTAAGCTTGTCCATATTAAAGGGATATTCCGCTTTTTGGTAAAAGGTTTTCATTATCAAAAAACGTTGTAAATCATACATGGAAATATATCTAAAGTATGCTATTTATATTTATGTATCTTCTTGATCAAACTAAATTTAAGGGTTGATTCAAAATGGAGAGTACTGGAGTTAAAGGGCAGATTTTGAGCAAATAATTTTTCGACCTACAACATAAGCGGAGTGTTCCTTAAAACATAGAGTTACAGCAACACATAAATTTAAATTTTCAATCTTTTTCATCTCTATGTCTAAATTATTCTTCCTGATATTATTCTTGGCATGTTTAATAGCAAGAACAAAAAAAAATAAAAATAATGTGTAAAACATCACGCCCCTTTACAGGTCTGATTTTGTGATTCTGGAAAAATAGTAAACGTCACGTTAAGAGAACGTCTCAAGTGTCCCCTATTTTATCTGAAAGTTTGAGTTTAAAGTACGTTGCCCTAATTTTTAGAACGCAGAAAATACATGAAACGTTTACGTAAACCTTTCAAGGTCGCTGCTTTTAACAGGTATAAGAAAACTACTGTACTATAAAGCAATATAAACCTCAAATTGTTGAGAAATATGTCTCCTACTTATTATGAAGGTTTCAACTAAAAAATTTAATCACCCCTTTTAAAACAAATTCAAGTTGATCAGGTCGATACATAGAAGTATATTTTAGAAACCTGTTCACGTTTATTTACTGTTAAATTATATAAATCCTTTGCAAAGTGCTCCTTTAAACAATTCCAGCGTAAGAGAGGCAATAAATTTTAATGGAAAAGACATGTTAATTATACCGCTTGATTAGTTATTCTATAAAATACAGACAGTAGCATTGCGAACTTTACGTCAGTTCGTCACGCGACAGTCATTACTAAAAATTTGATTTACATTGAATGACTTTGTTTTCCATATAATTTAGTTTTGTCTGAAAGATCGATTTAACTTTAAGAAAGAATAAGGTGAAATTATTTCACTGTGGTGTACGGAGGTTTATTTAGGACATGTTCATTTCTTTTCTCTTTTAAAAAAATACGAAAATTAAGCTTTTAGTGGTCTAATATGATTACTGTACAGAATAATTTACGAAGTTTAGATGATAAAAACCGCCCCGAACTATATCTGTGATTGGCGGATCCGATTTAGATAAAAAAAAAAAAAAAACACCCCAGCACCCTCTGACATGCGGAAAATTCCCACAAAACAGGATCTAGTTTTTCTTTCTCTTCACGGGCCGACAACTTTCAATATAGCTTCAGAGGCTGGAATAGATGCAGATGTTTCGGTCTAGAAATACAGTTTCGAATGAGGGTGTTTCGACTGTTTCGCTAGAAGATTACTATTTCATCAGATTAGCTGAAACTTCCTTAGTTCTAAGTTCCATGCGTCACTATAATCAGGGATTCGAGTCCATGACATCCAGTAATATGAATTGACAAATTACATCTCCATATCAATTTCATTCAACAAAGAAGCTGAAAATATCATCCTGCTAATTGGAAATGAAATGAGTTTTGGATCCTTTCATAATAACTCATTTCTGTAAAGCTTGGCAGTAATTACCTTCTTAATAAATATCAATAAGACTCCATTCTTCTGGCTACGAGGGATGGCTGAAAAGTTCTTAGTCTCAGTGGAATATCTCAATCGAATGGAAACAAATTTTTGCGACCAAACAAGTAATGGTTCTTTAAAGCGGAAAAGAAATGTGTTGGTTTCCTGGCGTCCCGTAAAATTAAAATTAATGTCCATGATTATATAGCCCGGCCCATCTGTCTCCCAAAATGAAAAAGAAAATTTAAGCTTTCGCTATTTTTCAATAAACGATGACGTCATTTCAGCAGTGAATTACATTTCTTGGCCTCCATCCAGTCCAATCCTTACGGCACCGCTGACAAAAGTATGTTAAGCTGGTATGACCTGGTAGAGGTTTAGAACTATTCAGACATCCCTCGTAGTATATAACATCATTCTGATAAATCATATGACTTATTACCCCGTCTACCATTCGTAATGGTCCATCAATCTCAGTATTTTGTACCAGACTATATATGAAGACTATCGCTTGCTAGCTGAGAGTCCTATGGTTTCGATAATGCACGTTGTACAGTAAACGCCATGAAATCAGTTTGTTACATTGGCCACATATGAACATATCTGGCCAAAAATTTATTAATCGTTTCCATTTATTTCCATGATATTTACACCCTATAATGTCCGTGCCACCTACAAACATAAGCTACTACGCCGCCTTAAAGCATATTCAAAAGAAGACAGAAGTGTTACCTAAATTGACTGAAACTACACCAATGGTAATGCCTGTTCTTCTTTCAATTCTCTCCAGTAACCATCCAATAGAGCCTTAGAGATCAGTTTCGACATTTTGAAAACTACCATGGCGATTTCTTAACCTTGAGTGTACTTAAACATCAAGCGATTTTATGCTGCTCTGAGTTGTTACAGTGATCGCCATCATACAAAATGTTTCTCTTAAACTCCTTAACTTGAAGTGAAATTTTAATATATGTATCTTCCATGAAGAAAGGTTTATGATAGAAACGGTTCGTCGTTGATTATGAAGCGTGCCCCCCCGGGTAATCAAAGTTTATTAAATCAGAAGGAAGGATAGTAAATATACTCAATACTATATAATATCCGTTACCTCGTCCTTATGAATTTATTAGATATTTCAATAGTCTTAAAATTACTGGAACACAGCGAAACCAAATGAATTTTGTAATTTATTGTTATCTGGTTGGAAGAACATTCCCCTCGACTAGATGCTGAGTTGAAGGTTTTAAATATATCGAACCAGGGGCGTATCTAGAAAAGGCCTGGGAGGGGATTGAAATGGAGATCCCTATATGCCTAAGGCAGCCTCTGAAGGGGCCATATTTCACATACCTTAGATGAATTTTGTGCATCGAGAAGGCTTAATTTTCACTTCAAAGTCAGATCTTTCACGGGCCTAAAGGGTCATGGCCCAAAATACCGCTAAAATACGCTATTGTAGGCCTATCGAGCCAATCTATAAGGGCAAACATCTTTCTTAACAATTAGTACATTTCGTTTTTAAGAACCCGTTTAAAACAATTTTATGTACATCAATTGTATTTATAGAAGTGAAGAGGATATTGTATTGTTTTATATATTATAGTTAATGGTTCATTGTGTCTTTTTATTATGGTTATGGTTTCAATTGATAAAAAACATTAAAAAAAAAGGTACGAGGGTATCAAGTATTGTAAGGTTTATATTCCGGGAGTATCTCCTCTGAAGGAGGTTTGCTGGAAGGTTTCTTCATGCTTACTCTACAATTGTTGATTCTATCGATTATTTCCCAAACGATTGCCAAAACCACAAAACCACTTAATACCAGAAATACACCAAACATGTTCTCAATCTGAAGTTCGGCTGTTGTTTTATCACTGATTGATCTGGCCTTTCCTTCATCACTACAGTTCGAACCAGCAGACCACCACCTAGAAAGCAAAATAACAGACACTATCAAAGACTACTCAAAGCATTCATTATTCAAAATCCAAAAGATGTATGCATTATGTCTGCTGGAACACGGGAGCCTGTGTGGGAGTACATATCGATTGTTTAGTACAACTAAATATTTGTTACCGATAGGATGGTGATGTACCCAAAACTTGTCCTACCGGGATTTGATATTATGTAAGGCAAGTTTGACACTTACTTTTCTTTCAGTCCGTCCAAAACACCCTCCTCTTTTAGCTCCAATAATGCTCTATTTATGTCATCTCTATAAGGTGCGCCTCGTGGCAGACCAAGACTGTAGTCCTTACCACCAAAATGTTGTTCAACTGACTCAATATCACAATTCGACTGAGCATAATAATCATTGACCACGCCATCAGCAATGAAGGCAAACTTCCCACCAGCTACTCTGTCAATAATATCATTCTTGTCTGTAAGCAGCGCTTCTTCTTCGTTCAGCTTCATGAAGGCCCACATTCGTTCGTAAGGATCTTCTTTCTGCTCTTTGAAGAAGTGCATAATACTACTGTCCTTTTCCAAACCATACAGAGTAGTAGTTTGTCCAGAAAGATCGTATACAGTTCTGAAAATTAAATTAGTAACGTCAATCAATATGACTATTAATGCTTTACCCTGTATCGTCTTTAATTATTTAAATGGAGATAAGTGAAAGGAACATAAGTTTGAAACTCCCTGGTCCGTGGACAGTCGGCCAATCATACATAAACCGGGCCTTATCTATCTGCCAAAATATGTATCAAGATCTCAAGCAAGTTAACTAGCCGTTAACATTAAAAAAGTATCTTCAGAATAATCAAATATCTACCTTATTCTATTATCAATCTGTTGTAATGTTAGATAAGCAGCCAGATTAGCAGTATATGCAGCATCAATTACCAATACACAGAACCAAAAGAATGAGATGATGGTCCTGGTTGAGGTTGTTTGAGGAGAATAATCTGTAGTTCCTTGAAGTAAGATATTCACTGAGTACCACATACTTTCTTTCAGATTAAACCGCTTTTCAGACTGACTTTGGGTTTGGTCGTAACGACTCATGATGTACATTATCAGACCAGCAGCGACAACAAAACCCATAATCATTAACCATAGTCCAGTTGAAAAGGGTCCTAGAAATTGGAAGAAGTTCCGGGTGCTTTCACCTTTCTTGATGAGTAGGGATGCCTTAGATGATAAAATCGTGTAGGAGAAGCTCACGACTTCTTCTCGTTGAGCTGTGACTTCTAGTGCTCCAATTGCCATTGATGCATTCTTAAATTCAAAATATATAACGAGATTTAATATCTTACTTACTAGTTTACAACAGAAAAGGGCGAAACTAGTTTTGTAAGGATACTCCAGTTTTTAAGAACGGAAAGGCACAAAGGAAATGACAACGCCGATGATAAGAAAGAAGAAGCAAAGATGATGGTAAGTGAATACAATAACAATTGTTTATTACCCCATTGATGAGTTCTTGTACCAATCCTATCAGTTGACCATTCTGGTTGTTTTTATATTTCTTGTTTGTTACATCAAATATTTCATAGGTAAAGTGAAGCTTTTCAGCCAGATGTTTTAATAGATCAATATTAAAACCAATATATTCACCATTCCTCAACATAACAAACGGGTCATCCTAAAATGAAAAGATTAAATATTATCATGAACAAAACTACGGTAGAAGAAGACTCGCTGATACAAAGAATGCTTATGTTTTGGTATTTCTTGGTAATAGTATTCTAGTTATTCTGAAAACTTAATCTGTGACAATTTGTTTGTGGCGGTAAGGTTATACTGTTCGGTAGTTAAAAGGACTAACGATATTATATTTCTTATAAAAGTTTACCTGCTTGGTAACCACTCGAAGTAAATCATCTTTACCAAATACAAAATCTCGGGAAGGGTTTTTGGTTTTATTGACGGTAAAATCGACAAGCGGTTTGCCATCTAGAAAAGTACAAGTTCCAATCTGAAATATTGATCAATACAAATCACAACGACATTCACAGTTGTAAATATCTATTTAACCACAGGAGCCATCACGAATAATTTGTAATGAGTCTTTTATCAAAGTACAAAAGTTTGTCAGATGATTATCTTAAAAAATTGTTAAAGGGACAGTTTCACCATTTTCGGGGTATATTTGAGTCTTGAATATATGTAAATAGTCCCCAGAAGACTTAAAATAAATGAAAATCGCATAATTCATTCAAAAATACATCAAACTAGGAATTTCATTTCTATTTCAATATATTATGTTGGTCAAACCAATAAAACAGAAAATATCTTTCGATTTAGGACTTGCGATGAAATGACTAATTCCTGTCAATTTTGCGTCAAGTAGTTTCATTCCATTTCTTTTTCATTTTAATTTTCCACACGAGTAAACTTTTTGTTTGTTTCCGGTCAATGTCTGGGAAAACAATACTCGAACGTCAGTCTTACAGGAATTAACATTATATGATCATTTTCCACAGTCATAATCAGTCTGACTCTTTTTAGCCCTTGATGTCTGTGTCGACATTTGACAAAAATAAGATTTCTGAGGTTAAGCCGAAAGATCTGCCTCTATTCTAGCCTCAGATAGCTTTTTTGAAAGTTGTCGGCTGGTGTCAGAAAAACTAAGACTTGTTTAACTGTAATTTTTCCGCACCTCCAAATGTGCAGGGGTGCTTTAAACTTTATTATTCAAAACGGATCCACCAAACCCAAATATATGGGGAAGATCATACCATCATAATGCCCCTACACCTTTAATGATCTCTCATCGACCATTCAAAACAGCCAAAGTTCAATTGGCCATCATACATAAACTGGACCTTGATTTCGAACACTTATCTATCTGCTTCCTGTTTTGTATGCGTCAAAATATGTATCAAGATCTCAAGCAAGTTAACCAGCCGTTACCAGTACAAAAGTATCTTCAGAATAATCAGATATCTACCTTATTCTATTATCAATCTGTTGTAGTGTTAGATAAGCAGCCAGATTAGCAGTATATGCAGCATCAATTACCAATACACAGAACCAAAATCATAAACCATAATCCCCCTTTAATGATCTCTCATCGACCATTCAAAACAGCCAAAGTTCAAGAGTCACAAAGTGATACTAGGAGAATGAGAGTAACAGTGATGGCCAAAAGTAATTTACAGTCATCGTAAAAGTAATTTAATATTATGTTAGAACGCATTTTCAGAGGTTAAGAAAATCCCCATAAAACAGGACCTAGTTTTCTGACTCTGCTCCAGCCGATAAATCTCAAAATATCCATCAGAGGCTGGAACACAGGCCGATGATTCGGACTAGTCTCAGGTTAGGATCGAGTCAGTGAGCTTCTGTGAAAAATTGATTTGACTTGAAGACGTAAGCTTTTAAACATTTTGCTCTAACAAAGGAAGTTATCAGTATATGCCCTCGATCCTTAAGCTGACGTTTCTTCCAAAACGTATTAGCCTACATTTCTTTATCGTTTTGCTCTTAAGCAGGTAATAAATACAAATTGTACGTGCTCTTTTTTAAATAAATTTGAACACGTTCGAAGTTTGTGAATATTATATGAGTACGGAGTGGAACATACAATGACGATGATGGAACTTCGGCAAGGCTTTCGATCTCTTAGTTGGCAATTTCAATTCAACTATATAGGAAAAGTGAGGTTGTTAAGTAGTTTAGGCCCACGTCTTATTTTCGGCCCTTGATTAGGAAAGTGAAGATGGACCAATCAAACATCACATGGTCAAGGTATTGCAAACTTCGTTATACCAATCTTGTATCACCGAAGTTTGTAATTGCAGCGATTTGATTGGATTGTACGCTATCGAATTCATAGCCATAGAAAGACAAGCTGTAAAAATTATGGTTTATCGGTTACAGATTTTCCGTCAAGAACTCTGCTTGGCTATATTCGCTAACGTATAATCAATCCAAATTGCTGCACTTACAAACTTCCGTAGCACTTACAGTCAAAATACATTGACCGACATGAACATGGACATGACCATGCATTTGACATGGTGGGAAAACGTATTCTTCAGTTTTTTGTTGTTTGTCTTCGATGTTAATGCTATATTTTGAAAAGCAAAATGCAAAGAAGTTGACCCTTTACCTGATTAACTGTTGAGTTATACCAAAGAACATCAATAGAATAGTTAGTTCTTATATTATCATCATTCTGCCAGATATATTGTCCTAATGCACCATGGTACGGGTTGGTCTAAAACATACAACGAAACGTAACACCAAACCATGGTTAGATTTGGTCTGTAACAAAAATTCAAAGTGCGATAGTCAAGATATTTTGTAGTCTGTAGAAAAATCGACTAGGAATTTTAAATTTTTCACAACAAAGAAGAGCTATAATTTTCGGACCTTATCAATTTTAGTTACTTATTCACGCAAAATAGATACTTTTTTAGTGATATTGCTAAAAAATACAAAGGCAGTAACACCAAACATGCTGTGGAAGATAAAGAAAAAATTGCAGACAGTTCTACTTAAAAGAAACACCAATCAATGACAGGTATGAAAAAAGACTGAATTTTATTTCAAATTATACCAAGGTTTAAAAATATCAGCCCTACCTGATCTCTAATTGTGGTCTTAAAGATGTCTGAGTAGATGTTGAAGTTACCTCCCATTGGACCTCGACTACAATCGTGAGCATTAGACCAGAGAACATGTCTGAGAATCCCCACAACATCTACAGCTAAACCTAGATCTAACCTAGAGATGTTGAATACATCTTGTAGTCCTGAAAGAAAAAGGAAAAATGGAGGTATTGGCGGTAAAGTCGATACTCACGATGTAAGGTAGATGTGTGTACATACCTAAACTTGAGAGTTGGGAGAAATCTCCTCCGTATCGCTGTATATAAGCTCAGTAAGGAAGGAAGATGGGGCGTAAGGCACGATAGAATCGACTCTTCTTAATAACTTACCCGACACATTAGCTGGAATTTTGTTATTTCTTAGCAATTGCAATCCATACAAAGATCCAGGCCATCGTCCACTCTGCTCTTTAATAATATCTTCAAAATCCTGGGGAAAAAGACAAGCTGTAATGAGAAGTTAGCTATGTACAAACAGTATTGTTAAAATTAAAAAGGAAAAGCGACAGAAGATCAAGAAATATGGAGTATTTGCACACAAAATTCATAAAACCTAGCAAACCACTGATGCCTCTTTCATGGCGAGCACAAATCAACTAAATGTAATAAAAAGCTTATTTTTACTATTTGTTTTGTTGTCATGTTCAGACCAGTTTATGTGTTGCTGAATATATAACCACTTCCGGTTTAGGCGGTTTGTGTTGGTGTCACAAAATTATTCCGATTCAAAGCGCCATTTAAGTAGTAGGGACAATGACATGAAATTCGCAAGCTAATATACTGACTCAAAAGAATGAAAAACTTACAGGATATGTAACAAACCAGTCAATAGTATAATGAAGCAGATGAAGATGCTTGGCCTGAAAAACAAATTGATTCAGGTCAGTGGATTACCTCCCTTATACAATTTTCAAGCAATTGTGCTGGTGCACAATCAGTAAGGCAGAAAATGAAGCAATTCAATGTATTTGCGTTTCAATCGGAAGTATAGGAGGCAAGTAAGGGAATATTAATTCGATACTCTCCATCATTAATTAATGGACATCCTTGTGAATAACAGAAACTGAGAACTGAAAGGAACGAACTGCTTTGATTTATCAATTAAATTGATATCGGAGATAGCTGAGTATAATCATGTAAATAATTTCAGAAAGACTCACTGCTCGCATGACGTAATTGATCACATCCCGTTTATTGGAATGTAAAATAAATTTCTTTTCTTGTGATGAACGAAGCTGAATCAAATTTCTCCTTAATTCTGGGTCATTCTCTGAAGAAATTTTAGGTGGAAGTCGAATGGGCCAAACCTTAATTTTCAAACTACCCAATGTCAAAACTGGAGAGAAATCGTCTGAAAAACGAAAATGTTGAATGGTTAAAAAGAGACTTTTCCTCGTACTGGTAGAAATAGGGGTTTATATTTATAACACACATAAACAACCATGGCAGAAAAAGTGGGGCTCTTGGTTCCAAATAATTTTTTACGCCATAAAACTTAATAACTTCTTTCTTGACAATGGCTGTAATAAATACATCAACAGAAATTAAATTAAATGAAATAGATTTCGGGGAAGGGAGGGTTTGCGCAGTGCAAATGTAAAGCTCGATCCGAGCAACACGACGCCATTTGTATAGTTTTCTGTGGTCAGTATCATACCTTGTGCAAGTAAAGCAACATTTCGCCAACCCAGTCTTCGAACAATATCTGCTATAGCAGACGACATGGATTTAGCTTGCGGGAGAATTGGCACCACCTTATTGGAAACTTCACTTGATGCTGACGTCAGCAGATGAAGTCTGTTGAGTATGACGTAATTGGTAGATGTAAAAACATCAATATGGGGACCAATGGCCACTGCTACCTTATTATCTTCGAAATTTGCCCGTGCTGCAATGAGATGAAAGTTGAAATAAGGGGGAATGGTATAGGTATCTTGTCAAAATAGGAGCCAAATGTCCATTTCATCTGTCCCCGAAGTTGGCGCCACCGATAGGTTCTCGGAAGTCGCCAT